ACGTTAAAGTTTAAATCTTCCGGACAAAATTAGAAAAGTGCCGATCAAAGGTCTTCTTTGTTATTTATTGAGCTTTAAAACAAATGAATAACGACTCTATATAATAAAACACGGAGATCTCTTTTTCTCCCCCTCTTCTAACAGCCCAGCAGCTGATCAGAGCATGTCTCCCCTCTCCTGCAGGGGGGCGTGGTCAGCAAAATCAGACCCGTAGACAGCAAACAGCACATAGAGCGAAATCAGGCATGGCTAAAATGCATGATCTGTTTGGTATTTTGAAAACAGAAACGTATAAATATACCTTATATAGGTATGGCCCTACAATATATCATTTAAATATAGCATGATAGGTTTTCTTTAACTGACATGTTGGATAGACGCATACTGTATACAAATAAAAATAAAACCTGAGTCTTGTAACCAACCTTTTAGTCCAGCGAAGAGGAGAAGAAAGCTCAGTTGAACAGTCATGTTGGCAAATGGGCAGGAAACCACTTGAACCCAAACACTGGCAGACTGATTCTTTAGTTCCTTTTTTGCTACACTTAATAACTCTACTTCTCCTCCTCCATCTGTAAGACAGACCCAATTAGTAAATGATGTATGTTTAGTTTGTGATATATACTCTTTATGCAGTTTGTTTTGCTACCACAGAGCACACATCACTCTTAGACACTTACTCTTGACATCTTACACACATCAAACAGATGAATGGAACGGATTTGTTTAATTCAGTTACAAATGTGTACAGTGAAATAATAAAAGCTAGAATACTTATGTGTCTTTTTATATTGTCTATTACATAGTTTGCTATTTGCTTAGTTTTCCCCACATGCCTAACATTGCTGTGTTTGGCGTCCTCTTCAGTCAGAGGAAGATTCAAACCAAAAGTTTTTTTAAATAAAAATGATTTGTAATCGACCAAATCTGATGAGATTGAATGCATGGTCATCTTTATTAATATAGTACAAGCAAAACATTTTATGATACTTTATTTGTAAGGCCGGATCAGAGGAATTCAGTGTTGTAGTCAAGTCACCAATTCACGAGTCCAAGTCACTCTTGAGTCACCACTCTTCGAGTCCGAGTCCAAGTCCGAGTCACCAAGGGAGAGTCGTAGTCGAGTCCGAGTCCAAGTCCGAGTCACCCAAGGAATGTCCGAGTCGAGTCTGAGTCCGAGTCATCATTACCTGTGTTCGAGTCCGAGTCCAAGTCCGAGTCACCCAAGGAGTGTCCGAGTCGAGTCCGAGTCCGAGTCATCATTACCTGTGTTCGAGTCCGAGTCCAAGTCCGAGTCACCTAAGAAGAGTCCAAGTCAAGTCCGAGTCACAAGTCTTCATGTATTAATCTTCGTGGATATATGTGTTAAAATGTAGCTGCTCCTCTACATTGCTTTTATCCTGTCATGTTATACTAATCTGTCTATTGAACTGCTGTGAAGCCAGTTTGGCTACAATTCTTGTAATAGGTGCTATACAAATATAAAGCTTATTACTAATATTAATATTATTATTATTATATATAAATAAACTATGTTTAAAATGAGTTACCTTTTAGAGAAGTGATTATATTTGTATGCCAATATTTTCCTATGGTAAAGTTTTCGTTTTGCACTTTTATTTTGATAGTAATAAGATCGGGACTCTTATTTTGAAGGAAGTTTTACCAGTTAAATCGGTTTACTGATAAAGATTTAGCCCCAGAAAGCACATGGCTACTTAGCATGCAAAATGACGTCATTCTGCATGTTAAGTAGCCATATGCTTTCGTGTTATCGGCTGAATCTTTATGTATTGATTATGTGGCAGGATGAGAGTCCTAATCCCTTGTAAAGGATATTCTCCTCGTTTGGCTCCTGTGAGCATATCACCACCAGGGGGCACCCTATAAAAGGGCAGAGGTTTCTAGCTGGCTGTCTCTTCTTTGTTGGTACACAGACCCGCCCCACTTGCATGTTTGCCGTGTTTGCTTCTGCCACCGGTGCAGTGGAGGATCCTCCGGGTGCAGCCTGTCAACGCAGCCATAGAAAGCATGAAGCTCTCTCCTCTCTGCGTCATCGATAGGAAAGCCTGATCGGGCCAATCCAATGATTAAGGGACATCTGCTGTTTTGCTTCACTGGAGAAAGTGTATTTATCCGCACAACTGCTGTTGATCCTGCCTAAATGTTTGGGCTACTGCTACTATATTGCTGCTTCTGATTGCTGCTTCTGTCCAGCTTTGCGTCGCCTACTGCGGAGGCTCGCTCACCAGTTAAAGTGCTGCTTTAACTGAACGCCTTCCTGCTGCCTTGCTTGGGCCGACACTCGAAGTGTGGAAGTCATTGAACTCTGGGGCTAACTCCCCCCTATAACTTGTCCTTACTTTGGCCAACTTGATTTAAATTAGTTGGTTTATTTTATTCTAGTTAATTGTTTATTTTGTTTAACTGAACCTTTTCTCTTGTGATTTGTTTTATTCTTAAATGTTTACACAAGTTATCTGTTTATGAGAACATATTTGCTATTGTGTTTGTTTATTACTTTGATTTACTTATTTAGCCCCCATTAACTGCATTTCCCTCTTTGTTTCCCTACTTAGTTACTGAGAGCTGAAGGTGGTGGTGCTGGTGTCCAAGGTGGTGGTTTTCCTCTCTTCTTTTGTGTGTGATGTGCTCCCCCGGGATTTGATTTCCTGCACGTATGACTGGGGTGATTTAAGTTTGGTTTGTTTGGGGATCCTTCCACTCACTCGTCGACCCTATCCCCCCACTGGTAAGCCTCAGCCCCTAATTCATTTTTTCCCTTTGTGCTACAGCCCTGTGTGACTGTTTTAAACTGCATTTTAAACTATTGACTTGTGCTAAATAAAATTGTATATTTTTGATAAATTGAAACCACGTCTCCGGCTCCATTAGTATTCGAACCTATGTGTCCTCTGAAAAAGTGTTAATATTTCCTTGGGTGAAACTCCCAAGGTGGCGTTGTCGGAATTGTGAATGGTGTAATCAAACCAACTTGAACAAATACATTCACCTATCCTCCCCTCTGCGGCTACTGCCACAATTAGATCACGTTACTCTGATGATAGTGTTCAAGACAGCCTATATGTCTGAACTCGATGTTTGGAGTAATGTGTTATGGAGCCTTCTCTTCAATATTGTTTCCACATAGAGCATTTGGCGCTGCTCTTTTCCAATGTGGAAGCAGAATGTGTGAAAGCATACAGCACGATGCGGGATGTGTCTCTAGACATCTTTAGACTGGAATAGCGGGGCCCAGTACATGAACTTGCCTCGCAGCCGGTGCACACGCCAGGATAGAGGACATCAGACTCCATAGAAAACTTGCTCGAGTCCGAGTCCAAGTCGGAGCGTCAATGTACAAGTCGAGTCCGAGTCATCATGGGGGGGAAAATTCACGAGTCCGAGTCCGAGTCCAAGCCAGCGTACGCGATAATTCACGAGTCCGAGTCCGAGTCCAAGTCATCGTGCGTGAGAATTCACGAGTCCAAGTCCGAGTCGCGTCAATCAGTGCGCGAGTCCGAGTCGAGTCACGAGTCCCGAAAATCGGCACTCGAGTCCGACTCGAGTCCGAGTCCAGGACTCGAGTACTCCATCTCTGGAGGAATTAGAATTAGAGTTCACTAGATAACAATGCCTCTAGTGCACTTTTACAATATCATTTACTGTAGACTTTGGGACAAGGTCCACATTTCCAAACAAAAGAATTGCACTTCAGGCATATGGACTGAAACTTGTTCATTTATTTAAAACATTACAGTTTTTCTCGATTGCTAACACACACAAATTATACATAAAGTACAATTATTTGAACTGACACTCAAAGAGCAAAACATTGGCTCAAATCTCCAAAACTCTAAACACGTTTTCAGCTTTTCACACAATTTGCAAATCAACATGGCACTTTTTGCAAACCACTGCACACGTTTCTCCACGTAAAACACAGGAATCTGACATAAAGTCACGTGTTAGCAGGTTTAAAACACTGATATTCAAAATGCCTCACACATGGACCAATAATCAAGAAACACGTTCCACCTGACCAAACACCTGATAGCATAATTGTTGGCTCATCAATCAGGATGTTAGCACTATAAAAGCACCACAGGTGAGTACTTTCTTACAGCAACAATGGAAGCCAACATGGATGCAAGAGGAAGAGGAAGAGGAAGAGCTGGGGTGAGAGTGAGAGGAGGAGGAAGAGGTGGGTGAGAGTGAGAGGAGGAAGAATGAGAGGTAGAGGTAGAGCTGGAGGGAGAGGACGTGGACAAAGAAGAATACTCTCTAATGAAATCCGGGCCACTTTGGTTGACCATGTTATCAACCATGGTTTGACGATGAGAGAGGCTGGACAGAGGGTTCAGCCTAATATTTTTTCTACTGTATTTGACAGAAGCATCATTTTTGTTTTGCGTTACCGAAACAACTGTAACTATGTGCTGAGATGCATGTTGCACAATGTTATTTTTGAACAAAATATGATTTTTGTCAACAACTCATTTGTATTTCTTCATTTACTGTATTTCTGTAAACTCAAGCAATCTTTCTCTGCAGAAACCTCTATGTACAGAGCATAGCCCATACGAGATGAAAGTGCTTTAGATTATGCTCAGCAGTGTGTAGTTGGGTGGTCAAACAATCTAGTATTATGAATGAAGTGTGTTATATTTGGTGCAAAAGTTTGCATTTGGTAAGTGTTTATGTAGTTTTGAGTGCAGTTCTTCATTTAGCAGGAGAAATGAGGTGTTTTGCACTTTGGGTGTGTGGTTTTGTGAATTGTGTTTAGTGTTCTGAGAAACTGAGCAATTTAAAAATAAATGTGTGTTAGCAATCGAGAAAAACTGTAAACCACGACAACCATTTTAAGTATGTGTCAAACACGCACAGTGCATACAAAGTGGAGAGATAATATTAACACTACATGTGCCATCAGAAAGTTGATGTTTCAAACAGAAGAGTTCATTATATAAGAAGAAGAAGACAAGGAGGATGGCAGAAACTGAAATATCAACTTGTGATTTATTGCATTATCATGTTTATTTTAGTTGACTTATTTTGTACTTTAAACATTCATGTTCCATCAAACATTAAACAACAAAAAAACATAACACAAGACATAAATGAACAAACATAATTAAACAAAACCTGTAAGATTTGTTTGGTTCCTCCTGCATGTTCAGGAGCTTGGTCATTTTGTACGAGTGTAGAAAGCTTTTGTCAATGCATAAAATCTTTTGAGCTTAAGGATATGAAGAAAGGGGAAGGGGAGAAAAAAAAAAAAAAAAAAAAAGCGGTTTCTGCAAAGCCAAAGATCAGATGTCGGCAAGTTGCAAGACTGTCATCTAAAAAATGACTCCAGCGATGGGTATAGATGTAGGGTAGGGGGAACATTCACAGGTTTCTCTGGTGCTAAGCCAACCTGCTTTATGTTACATCATCTTCTTCCGCTTGAATCTGTTGCATAAGTGAAGAAAAAATGACATTAGGGAGGAAAGATCAAAGATGAAAATGACTTTTGCCTAACAGCTCTAACAGGCTGGACACAATGCTTTGAGCTAAATGCTAACGTTACATTGTCCTAACAATGTCAACAAAAGGCTGAAGTACTAATGTTTAGCAGGACTGTTTACCATGTTCATAATCTTAGTGTAGCCAGTATCAATGCCAACCTTTGCTAGCACAAATCCAAAAGGATAACCGAGGCTGATGGAAATTAGCTTTCATAGTATTTGGTCATTATCAACAAACTACATTTCTGACCTGATTATGGCGCTATATGAAAATGTAAGGGATCACCAAATTCGTAAGGATACATTATTTGGACACCAGGACCATCTGTACCAAATTGTTTAATGATCCATCCAACAGAACAGACAGAAATCGGCATCAATATATACACGCTTCTATTTTGGGGTAAAAGCTTCACTATTATCATAGAATACAACATTTAAATTAAAATGTACCATTTGTTTAGTTTGACGTTCTACAGCGACCACAGAGGAGTACATCACGTCCACATCTCTATTAGCTTCTGACCACTGTGGAAGAAAGAAGAGACGGACACAATCACATCAATTTAACAATTTAACTTTTGTTTTTGCTTCATAAAAACAAATGTTTATGATGAAATAATAAATGCTGCCTGAGAGAACTTATCTTTCTACTTCTGTAATCCTGTTGTGAAATGCAAGTTGTGTTTTTATTGGTTAAGGGTTACCTTTTCTGAAGCTCTTCTCATGTGTTTAACATCGCTGTATGTTACTTCCTCTTCAGCGAGACCAAGCTGCAAACCATCAACATGAACGTGAACAATTCTTCCTTTTTGGGGTAAACAAGGTTCCATTCTTGGACCATTACTGTTTTCTCTGTACATTAATGACTTGCCTAATGTATGTCCTGATTTGAATGTACAAATGTATGCCGATGATGCGGTCATCTTTGTACAGGGGAAACATACTGAAATTATCTCATCCTGTCTCTCAAATGCTTTGGACAAGGATCAACACTGGCTGAACAACATTTGCTTACAGTTAAATGCAAAAAAAACAGTATGCATGATGTTCAGTAAACGACCAGTCAAAATCAAAGGATCCAATGTGTTTTTAAACGGAGCAGAAATAGAACTAGTCCCCCACTTCAAGTATCTTGGAGTCATATTGGACTCGAACTTGACTTTTAAGAAACATATTAAGAAAGTATCCAATACCATTCAATTCAACTTGCAACATTTTAAACAAATCACACCTTTTTTAACTGTCAATGCTGCAAAGTCATACCTCCACTGTATGATTCTATCCCACATTGAATACTGTTTGACAAACTGGTCGTTTGCTTGTGCCACAAACCTGAAACCAATAGAACAGCTGTACAAGAGAGCTATCAAGGTGTTTGAGAGAAAGCCAAATTCATACCACCACTGTACCATCCTTGAAAAACACAATTTCTTGAGTTTTGACAATTTTAAGTCTTTTAAAAGTATGTGTTTTTTTTATAAATGTTTACATGGACTGCCCCCCCTCCCTTAGGGGAATTCATCCACAAAAAAGACACTGGACGCTGCACTAGGTCAGAAACCAGAGGAGACTGTGAAGTCCACCGTAGACTGACCACTTTTGGACAAAATGTCCTCTCCATTAAAGGCAGCTCATTGTGGAATAGCCTCCCAACTGAGAAAAGGGATTGTCCCACTCTCAATAGTTTTAAAGGTCAACTCAGAGAATGTTTAAGAAACAACCAGACGTGCAATCACCGCTAAATGCACTTTAACACAGGGGTATCTCCTCTTGCACTTTATGTAGCACTTTTATCTTTTCTTGCGCTTTATATGTCGTAGCTGCTATATTGTGGTAAATACTTGTGTATGCTGCTCTTGCTTAAATGTTTTATGTAAGGGACTGCGGATGGAAATTAGCTCAAAGCTAAATCTGGCACTGTTACGCTTAACACATTTGACTGTTTTAAGTGTTCATTACTGTGCATTGTCCCTGCCAAATAAACGATTAAATAAACAGATGATCATTTGAATCACCATAAGAGTTTACCCAAAACCTAATTCTAATTAGTTTTTTTATTCAAATGTGTAATGTTCTGTGCCAATCATTTTACACAGTGTCTTACCTGACCTGTCTTTCTCTTTTTCTTGACAGTACTGTATGTTACTTCTGCATTAGACTGTGTTAAAAGAGCAAAGGACAGAATTTGAACGACAAATATGAACCAACAGCCTAATGTTCAATTGTTTAATGATCCATCCAACAGAACAGACAACAATGGCCACCCATATATAGACACGCTTCTATTTTGCCTTCAAAATGTGGGGTAAAAGCTTCACTATTACCATAGAATACAACATTAAAATTAAAATGTACCCTTTGTTTAGTTTGACGTTCTACAGCGACCACAGAGGAGTACATCACGTCCACATCTCCATTAGCTTCTGACCACTGTGGAAGAAAGAAGAGATGGACACGATCAGATCAATTTAACAATTTAACTTTAGATGTTGCTTCATAAAAACAAATGTTTATGATGAAATAATAAATGCTGCCTGAGAGAACTTATCTTTCTACTTCTGTAATCCTGTTGTGAAATGCAAGTTGTGGTTTTATTGCTTAAGGGTTACCTTTTCTGAAGCTCTTCTCATGTGTTTAACATCGCTGTATGTTACTTCCTCTTCAGCGAGACCAAGCTGCAAACCATCAACTTGAACATGAACAATTCTTCCTTTTTAGGGCAAACAGTGATCATTTGAATCACCATAAGAGTTTACCCAAAACCTAATTATATATAGTTTTTTTATTCAAATTTGTAATGTTCTGTGCCAATCATTTTTACACAGTGTCTTACCTGACCTGTCTTTCTCTTTTTCTTGACAGTACTGTATGTTACTTCTGCATTAGACTGTGTTAAAAGAGCAAAGGACAGAATTTGACAAATATGAACCAAAAGCCTAATGTTCAATTGTCCTTTTAGAAAGAAGAAAATAGTATGAATAAGAATAAGAGTAGGGTAATAGTAATTATGACAATATACATCATATGTAATAAGTGTTAATGTGCTGTCTATAGTGATTCATTGTAGCTTCAAAGGGACAGTACATTAAAGTCGTATTCTATCTGGAATTACTGCAGTGTGAAATTAATTAATTTAATTTCTTGTAAATAAATGTATTTGGAAAATAATTATCATGTCTTACAATTATTGTGGCTGGGGATTCGTCTTTGGTCTGTCCTAAAAGTGAAGCAATACAAAAAGTATTTTTAGTGACAATAATGCACAGTTACCTGCATTAATAGTAAATATATTTATGATTAACCCACAATAATAAAAATGTTATTATTTTGATTGAGCATAATTCGGCATAGACTTACTGTGCTTTTTTAACATAAACCAGATAAACATGGCCACCATAACAATGAAGATCAGCAAACTCAAAGGGATGATGAAGGCTTCCAAGATTACTGAAACACTGCAGCAGGAATAAATAAAAACACACAATACAAATGACAGACTTGTATAAACAGTCAAAATGTGCATGATTACGAGAAGGTCTCTCACCTTAGCTGTTTACCTTCAACAGTGGAAAGTGGTTGGTCTGCAGAACTAGTGGTGTGCTTCACAGGCTCCGTGGTGTGCTCCACAGGCTCAGGGGTGGCAGGACTTGTTGCTGCAAAAGTGAATGTAATGACATGTGGATATAGCTATTAGAGTAAAATGACATTAATAATTGCTAAGATTTCATTTTTATTAAATAAATAAATTAGAAATGTGTTTACCCAACACATATTAAAAATGTTATATTTTTTATTTAGAATTACTTATAACACTTACTAGTTGTAGGTTTCTCAGTAACAGTTATGTGCACTGGCATCTGTAAGTCTCCTTTAACACACCAATACCAGCCGCTGCTCTCTGTCCTCAGTTCGCTCAGAGTCACAGTGAAAACACCATTCTTGCGTGCACTGATCTCGACTCTTGCTCCATCTATTGATCCAGACCGTGTCACACAGGAGCCGCCGAGCCTGCACCACTTCCTTTCTCCAGAGTTTTGACAGTGACACTTGATGTTTATGTTATCTCCTTTAAATCCTGTAATCTCTTGCTGATCCACGTAGAGACTGGGTGTACCTTGATGGAGAACATCATTCATTTAAACTCGTGAGCAGCGTGGTTAGTACATGCTGCTCATGTTTCAAATATGTTTGGCATATATTTACATCTGGTGAATACGTTATTTGAGAAAATGAGGTAATTGTAATATTAAAGTGTTGATATTTCACAAAATATTTGAAAAGGGGGAATTGGGCTCTTACTTCCAGTGACTGACAGGTGGAAATACTCTTTGAGATCGGGTCCATCTTTAATCTCCACAGCACACCAGTAATAATCAGTGTCCTCTCCAGTCAGATCATTTATAGTCACAGTGAAGACTCTTTGTTTTTTGTCATCAGAGATGGAAAACTTTCTTGAATTTCGTTGGTTTGTTTTAATCACGTAAGAGCAGGAGATCCAAGTAGATCCTTTACACAAGTATTTCACATGCTTTGTGTACTTTGACTCATACAGACATGGGATAGTGATCGAACCTCCAGCTCTCACTGACACTTTACTGACTGTAGTTATGCTGTGAATTCCTGCAACAAGAGCAAACCCAACATTTTAAAAGCCATATTCAATCATAATTATCCATGTTACCTTCTGACATTACCATGTGAAGCATACAATAAAATATTCACAATGATACAATTATTCTGTCACTGACCTGTGAGTCCGGTCAAAATGAGAAGGAAGCCGAGATGAACAGCCATGTCAGAGTGTGAGCGGACCAAACAACATGTACGAACTGATGCTCTACTTCCTTTGTTCCTAAATATAAAATGCACAAGTTCAAATATGGGTCCCTCCTATAAGGAAGTTGCGTTTCATAGGTTAATTGTGTAATATATATATATCATTATTAGTGCAGTTGGGGAGTACCCTACTCTTACATAATAGCTTCGATGTAGAAAACATGAACACAACATTTCAAAAGAAAAAACCAGCACTTCAGGTTTATGGACTGAATTGTGTTAATTTATTTAAAGCATGACAGTAATAACATGAAATGATTAAAAACATTTGTTTAACCCAAGTGGGTTGAGTAACGGAAATATCAAGTACCTGTCATTTTAACAATTGAAATCAGACATAGATAATAGTAATTTCCAAAGATACGGAGAGAAACACTAGGTATTATGGGTACTTTTTATGGGCAGTAAGCCTCAAAAACAGATAAAGTCCAAGTCCTTTTCAAGTTATATATGTGTGACACCACCAAGCTAACCAGTGCCCTTAAACGACTTCACACAATCACCGTGTTTATTCTTTGCATATCTGTGGTGTTATAGCCTTATGGTTTAACAAAGAGGATGTCTGACGGAGTAACACAAACCCTGTTTGAGGAACCACAGATGAGACGATACATTTGGCTGTTTTCAGTTACATTATACCATTTTGTTGCTCGAAAAGCTAAATAAAAGTGATTGTACTGTACAGTAAAGTCAACTGTCATCATTTATAGTCATTCCAGAACATGTCATATATGACATGTTAAAGTATAAAAAGTGTTAGCATATCAAAGGTTAAATATGAGTTTCTAAACATCTTAAAGATGGAAGTAAGAACTAATTAATTAAAGTGAGAATAACATGTAAGTAATACAGTTGAAAAACATAAAAGTTATCAATGTTGTTGTTTTTGTATGCAGGGGAGGGTTCAAAAAAAGGTGAGATGACTACAGATGAAAAAGGAGAAGGAAGAAGTTACAGCACGACCAAACAAAGCTGTCTGCTAACAGAGAGATACGAGATTAACAGACAGACAAACATTTCAATGTTTTGTCGGTGCTGAGCCACAATATACTTTACTGTAGAATGTAGGGTAAGGTCCGGTGGATACATATGTTTTTAACAGAAGACCAGCACTTCAGGATTAAGGACTGAAACATGTTCATTTCTTAAAACAATGCATTAGAAATAAATGCAAACTTTTTTTAAGTGTGTGTAAAGCATGCACCATACAGTATATAAAAAAGTGGAGAGATGACACGAGTACTGCAACAATATGATTAGAGAAGTGATGTTTCATCCAGAAGAGATACGAAGACGATGGGGATGACAACAGAAACAGGCCGATCCATTAGTGAGTTATTGTGTTTGAACAATTTTTATAACTTTTTTGTATTTTACATATAATTATTCATTTTACATCGAAAATCAGACAACAAACATCACGATAAAAGTATATATTTAGATATAAAATGTTTTGGTTCCTCCTGCAGCTTCTGACTTTTGGTCATTTTTAAGAGTTCTTTTGTCAATGCCTTTGGGAAACCCCTATTGAGCTTAAGAAGGTTCATAAGATGGGTTTTGTTAGCTTGTTGACTTTAAGATGCTTGTTACGCCCATGTCAGTACTTGTTTGAAATGTTTTGCAGCAGTGTGGAGAAGAATACCTTCAAAAAGAAAGAAAAAACAAATGACAGCAAGTTGCAAATTGTCTAAAAAAAGACTCCAGTGATGGGTATATAGATGTAGGGTAGGGGTTACATTCACAGGTTTTTCTGGTGCTAAGCCAACCTGCTGTATGTTACATCATCTTCTTCCGCGTGAATCTGTTGCATAAGTGAAGAAAAGAATAGCATGAGGGAGGAAATATCAAAGCCATGATCAACTCATACCTTACTAACAGCTCTGTCAGGTTTTACATGGAGCTCTGAGCCAAATACTAACAATGTGCACAATGAGAAAGCTAAATTACAAATGTTTATCAGGAATGTTTACCTGCTAACATGCTAAAAAGTTGCCAAATAGCACTATCACAGAGACAACTGAGGCTGAGGGCTATTAGCTTTCATGGTGAAATGTGGGGAAAGAATGTTAGAAAAAGTTAAGGTCTGGGTTTGAATCCCTTAAAATGTACCTTTTGTCCAGTTTGATGCTCTATAGTAACCACAGATGAGTACATCACATCAGAGTGCATCACATACACATCTCTATTAGCATCCGACCACTGTGGAAGGAAGAAGAGGCGGCCATGATGAGATCACTTGAAACATTTAACTTTTTATATTTATGATGGAATACAAGTTGGGCCTTTTGGGGTCAAGGGTCACCTTGTCTGTAGGTTGTCTTTGTTTAACATCGCTGTATGTTACTTCCTCTTCAGCGCGATTAAGCTGCAAACCATCAACATGAACACTTTTTTTTAAATCAGGAAACATTTCATAACTATTCTCCTTTTTTAGGGCAAACAGAAGATCAGTGGAATCACCATAAGAGTTTAATAAAACCTAATTGTATAATAAAAACACATATACTGTGTTAATTCTGTGGATGGTCTTGTTTTGAAATAAAAATAAAAATATTTAGCGGCAGTAATTTTCACACAGTGACTGTCTTACCTGGCCTGAAGTCTTTCTCCTTTGCTTAACAATACTGTATGTTGCTTCCTCTTTACCCTGAAGGAGCAGAGAACAGAACATGAACGATGAATATGAACCAAAAGCTTTAATTGGTTTATTTATTTAACGTATTTCTGTGTTTCTGACCTATTGTCTTGTTAGGAAAAACACTCTTAGTAATTATCAAGATATATGTGATAAGTATCAATGCTTTTTCCCAGAGATATATTGAACTCCTGCAGCTGCAAATTCAAAATAAAGTAAAGTTTTATATTATTTGGAATTACTGCAGTGTTTATTAGAAAAATGGCTATGATAACATAACAAAATGTATTGGGAAATGAATGATCATATCTCACCATTATTGTGGCCGGTGAATCTCCTTTGGTCTGCTCTAAAAGTGAATCAATTATAAACTATTTTTACTTACAATAACACACAAATAGTCTGCATGATCGTTA